CATCTCAGTGAGTATTCCATCAATTCTAGGAGCCTGTATTTTGCCAATTCCTTCAGTGCAGCTTCAACTTCTTCCTTCAATACCATTCGCCACCTCCTGAAATGGATAAACATTGACCAATTCTTTCTGTTACAGTGGTACAGTGAGTCTGTGCATTCCTCCCATCTTCTTTTGATGTTTCCTGCATCATTCAATATATTGCCCATAGAATCTTTCAGTATTGCAACTCGAAGCTTAAATTTTTTCTTCATTTCTTCCAGCTTGATAAATTCTGGGCATGTTCTTCCCTTAGGCTTTCCAACTCCATGTCTTTGCACATTTCATTATAATAATTGACTTTGTCTTCTTAAACTCTTTGAAATCTTCTGTTCAGCTCTTTTATCTTATCATTTCTTCTGTTTGCTCTGGCTACTCTCCATTCAAGGACAAGTTTCAGAGTCTCTCCTGACTTCCGTTTTGGTCTTTTCTTCTTACCCCGTCTTTTTAATGACATTTTGCTTTCTTCATGGATGCTATTCTTGATGTCATCCCACAATTCCTCTAGCTTTTGGTCATTGGTGTTCAATGCATCGAATCTATTCTTTAGATGGTCTCTAAATTCAGCAGGGATATATATTCAAGGTCATATTTTGGCTCTTGTGGATTTGTTTTAATTACCTTCAACATCAACTTGAACTTGCATTTGAACAGTTGATGGTTTGTTCCACAATCAGCTCCTGGCCTTGTTTTGGTGAAGATATTAAACTTCCCCATTGTCTCTTACCACAGATATAGTCAATCTGATTCCTGTGTACTTCATCTGGCAAAGTCCACTTGTATAGCCGCTGTTTGTGTTGTTGAAAAAAGGTATTTGCAATGAATAAGTTGTTGGTCTTGGAAAATTCTATCATGTGATGTCCAGCGTTATTTTATCACCAAGGCCGTTTTCCAACTACCAGTGATTCTCCTTTGTTTTCAACTTTTGCATTCCAATCACCAGTGATAATCAACACATCTTGATTGCATGTTTGGTCAATTTCAGACTGCAAAAGTTGGTAAAAATCTTCAATTTCCTCATCTTTGGCTTTGGTGATTGGTGCATAAACTTGAATAATACTAATACTAACTGGCCTTCCTTGTAGGTATATGGATATTATCCTATCACTGACAGCACTGAACTTCAGGATAGATCTTGAAACATTCTTTGTGTTGATGAATACAGTGTAAAATCTAAATTGTGATAGTGGGATAATCCTATACTTGATTTACAGCTATACTATGTGTCCAGTCTACTTATAAAAATTTTTGAGTAAAATTCACATAGCATAAAATTAACCCCTTTAAAATGTACAATTTAGCTGTATTTGGTCCATTCACAATGTTATGCATTCACTACTTCTATCTAGTTTTAAAACATTTTTATCACCCAAAAAGAAAATCCATTAAGCAGTCACTACCCATTCCTTCCTCCTGTCAATCCCTGGCAGCCACCAATCTGCTTTCTATCTCTATGGATTTACTACTTTGGATATTTCATATAAATGGAATAATACAATATATAGTGTTTTCTTTCACTCAGCATAATAATTTTGAGATTCATCCACGTTGTAGCTTGTATCAGTACTTATTATTTTTTTTAATGGCTGAGTAATTGTCTATTGTACACTTATAGCACAATTTTTTTAATCCATTCATGCTTTGATGGATATTTGTGATGTTTCCATTTTTTTACTTTTGTGAATAGTGCCGTTTTGAACATTCATGTTAAAGTATTTGCTGCCTACCTGTTTTCAAGTCTCTTAGGCATGTAATTAGCAGGGGAATTGCTGAATCAAAGGGTAATTCTATGTTTAACTTTTTTTGGAAGCTTCAAGCTGTTTTCCACATCAGCTGCAACATTTTACATTCCCTTCAGCAGTATATAAGTGTTCCAATTTTTGTACCTCTTCACCAACACTTGTTATTTTCCTTTTTTTGACTATAGTAATCCTATTAGGTATGAAGTGCCAATCTACTTAAAACATTTTTTTTAAAGAAATTCTGGTAAATACATATAACAAAATATTTGCCATTTCACTGATTTTTAAATATATAATTTAATAACACTAATTACATGCATTATGTGTGCAACATCAACCCTATCCATTTCCAAATGGTCTCATCACTCTAAAAGTAAAGTATTCTAATGAAATGTGCAAAGACCTGGAGTTAGAAAACCAAAAGGGAAGAATACACTTGACATTTCTCAAGCTGAAAGAACTGAAGAAAAAATTCAAGCCTCAAGTTGCAATATTGAGAGATTCTATGGGAAAAATATTGAATGATGCTGGAAACATCAAGAGAAGATGGCAGGAATACACAGAGTCACTGTACCAAAAAATAGTTATTTGACATTCAAACCTTTTCAGGCCATAGCATATGATCAAGAATCAATGATACTGAAGGAAGAAGTCCAAGCTGCTTTGAAGGCATTGGTGAAAAACAAGACTTCAGGAATTGGAATTGGAAAACCAATTGGGATACTTCAACAAACTGATGCAATGCTACAGGCACTCTCTTGTCTGTGCCAAGAAATTTGTAAGACAGCTATCTGGTCCGCAAATTGGAAGAGATCCACATATATGCCCATTCCAAGGAAAGATGATCCAGAATGTGGAAATTATTGGGAAATATCATTAATATCACATGTTAATAATATTCTGCTAAAGATAATTTATAAATGATTGCAGCAATATATCAAAGGGAACTACCAAATTCAAGCCAGATTCAGAAGAGGACATGGAATGAGGGATGTCATTGCTGATGTCAGATGGATCTTGGCTAAAAGCAGAAAACACCAGAAATATGTTTATCTATGTTTTATTGACTATGCAAAGGAATTAGACTGTGGATCATAACAAATTGTGGATAACATTGCAAAGAATGTGAATCTCAGAATTATATATTAACTGTACACAGACCAAGAGGCAATTGTTCAAACAGAACAATGGGGGATACTGCATGGTTTAAAATTAGGACAGGTATGCAGGGTTGTATCTTGTATGCTGAGCAAATAATCCAAGAAGCTGAACTATATGAAGAACGTGGCATCAGGATTGGAGAAGACTCATGAACAACTTGCAATATGCAGATGGTACAGCTTTGTTTACTGAAAATGAAGAGGACTTGAAGCACTTATGGATGAAGAGCAAAGACTACAGTCTTCAGTATGGATTAACTTCAACATAAAGAAAACATTCATCCTCAAAACTGGACCAATTAGCAACATCATTATAAATGGAGAAAAGATTGAAGTTGAAAAGGATTTCATTTCACTTGGATGCACAATCAACACGTGCAGAAGCAACAGTCAAAAAATCAAATGATGTATTATTGCATTGGGCAAACCTACTGCAAAAGATCCTTTTAAAGTGTTAAAGAGCAGAGGTGTCACTTTGAAGATTAAGGTGTGCCTGACTCAAGCCATGGTATTTTCAGTTGCCTCAAATGAATGCAAAAGTTAGACAATGAATAAGAAGACTGAAGGAGAATTGATGCCTTTGAATTGTGGTGTTGGTGAAGAATATTCAATATACCATAGACTGCCACAAGAACAAATAAATCTGTCTTCGAAGAAGTACAATCAGAACATACCTTAGAAGTGAGGATGGGGAGACTTATCTCATGTACTTTGGATATGTTATCAGGAGGAATCAGTTCTTGGAGAAAGACATTATGTTTGGTAGAGAGCCAACAAAAAAGAGGAAGACCCTCAATGAAGTGAATTGACACAGTGGCTGCAACAGTGGGCTCAAATATGGCAAGAATTGTGAGGATGTGCAAAACTGGGCAGTGTTTTGTTCCATTGTACATAGAGTAGTTATTATATATTACATATAAAACAAAAAACCAAACTCATTGCTATTGAGTTGATTTTGACTCACAGCAGCCCCCATTGTGTCTCCAAGGTGGTAAATCTTTATGGAAGTAGATTGCCCCATCTTCCTTTCACAGAGCAGCTGGTGGGTAATGGCTGGTGGGTTTGAACTGCCAATCTTCTGGTTAGCAGTCAAATGCCTTAGGCACTATGCTACCAGAGCACCTTTTGGAACTATCTTAGGAAGTACTCAAAGCCAAGTGTGTTAAGATGCTCTCGAAAGACATCTACAGTTTCTCTTATAGCACTCCTAAGAGACAGCCTATCTGAACAGAACTGAAGAATGTCCTCCATCAAGAGAACTATAACCATTTTATGAAGGCTTGATCAATATCATTTAGAAGCTCTAAAGCCATCGAATATTTTTGGCATACCAATCCTCTGGATGTCTAAATCTTCCACCTTTTGCTATCTTCTGCGTGGCTTTAGACTCACTTTTTAGTCTTGGAGATGCTGAGAGTTATTTATCTGGAGGGGATACCAAGGAACTGCTAGAAAGTGGTATTTTTATCTTAAATTGCTGTTTGATCCTGTTGTGCTTATATTATGTGACTACATAAAACAGTAATAATAATAATAATAATAATAATTTTCTAAAAGCTAAACATTAGAACAGATTCTAAGTATAAAGACTTCCTCAGTGGAGGATACACATTTTCAAACTTTACTCTTAGTCTCTGGGCCTCTTATCATTCTCTTTAGGGCAAACTTCACCTCTTGATTCCGCAGAGTGTAGATAAGAGGGTTGAGGAAAGGAGTGATGGCTGTGGGGAATAGGGCAGCTGCTCCACCCAGGGGGCTGTTAGTTCCAGGCCTCAGGTAGATGAAGGCACAGGGCACATAATACACAGTGACCACAGTTATGTGAGCTCCACAGGTTGAAAAGGCCCGGCGCCGCCCATCAGCTGTGTGGATTCTTAGGATGGCCTGAATGATCTGTCTGTAAGATAGGATGATCAGAGAGAAGCAACTGGCAACCACCAGCCCAATGTCCACAAAGGTCACCAGCTCGTTGACTTTTGTATCTGCACAGGCCAGTCTCAATACCGCAGGGATGTCGCAGAAGAAGTAGTCCACTTGGTTGGGCCCACAGTAAGGCAAGCGGAAAGTTAAGATTGCCTGAAGAGCCCCATGGATGGACCCGGCCATCCAAGCTCCAACTACAAGCAAGGTGCTCAGCTTAGGAGTCATGAGAACAGGGTAGTGCAGGGGCCGGCATATTGCCAAGTACCTGTCATAGGCCATCAGTGTGTAAAGGAAGCACTGGGTGCTACCCAGAAAGTGATAAAAATAGAGTTGGGCCACACAGCCACCAAAGGGAATGGGTTTTATCCCTACAGTAAAGTTCATCATGAGGCGAGGGACAATGATGGAGGAGATACCCATATCAATGATGGAGAGAACACCGAGAAAGATGTACATGGGGCGGGCATGGAGCTGTGGGTCTACCCAGACAGTGATTAAAATAAGTAGGTTCCCCAGCTGAGTCAGGATGTAGATGAGCAAAAAGAAGACAAAAAGAAACATTCTTAGCCTTATTGGGTAGGGAATTCCAGTCAGGATGAACTCAGTCAACAGTGTGCTGTTGACTCTTTCCATTCCCTGGAGAGATCTTACCTAGGTAATGGACAAAACAGGAGTTAGCATAGAAGTAAGAGGAACATGAGGAAAGACTAGAGAAAGAGATTTTGAAAATCTGGGTCAGTGGCAGAGAAGTTTTTCTCTTAGGTGGAGACATGACAAATATGGAGAAACTATGTTCTATAGCAGGGATTAGTCTGTTTTTGTAAATAAAGTGTAATTCATACACAGCCATGCTCTTTCATTTACATGTTGTCGCTGGCTGCTTCGGTGCTAACAATGGTAGAGTTGAGTAGTTGTGTTCAGTTCAAAGCTTAAAATATCTCTCTGGCACATTACTGAAAAACTTAACTGAATTCTGTCTGTGCCTAGATCAATTTTACCAAACAGTAATGGTTTCCTGGAAACATGGCCATGTACGACAGGTATTTGTTTCACTATATGCTCTACCACTTTAGAAAGTTCCAGAGGCTATTGGCTTATTCTTATCTCTGTTAGGACAGAAACTTACCTTAAATGGGGAATATGCAGAAGGGAACAGAGAACATTTCCACCTTGTTTTGATGTAGACAGAATGAAATAGCATTTTCATGAACTGGACAGTTGTATGTGACACTTGTTGATGCTGTACAAATTTACTTTTCAAGTTCTTTACAATTCAAAGAAAGAGAAAGCCCATGAGGCTGTGACCATGTAAGTAAAGAGAGGAGTAATACCACTGTGCATTTTTGTTGGTACTTGGTGCTATGCTTTTCAGTTGCTTTGTGTATAATAATCTAAGCCTGGGATAAAGGAAGAGAGAAGAGGGGGAAGAAAAGAAAGATGGTCATATGACAAGTCAGAGACTGAAGAAATGTTCTTAGCCTGACTGGGTAGGGAACAAGGATGATCGGAGAAGAGAGGAAATGATTCTCAGTGTGGAATTTATCTTAAGTTCTCAGTCCAACACCCTAGATTGATATTTCCCTACCTGAAGGAAAGGGTTGGATTTAATGAGCTTTTAAAAATTCCTTCTATTCCTACGACTTTCTGATTTTTAAACTCATGGCTTGAGATGAGATGCCAGAGAAACTGAAATGGTTTAATTTCACTTTGGAATACTTCATGTTCACTCAGAAGCAGGAGAATGAGGTGACAGGGAATATCAGCGGCTCTGTGATTAACAATTCTCTCTGCCTTCACTCCTGTACAGGTTATTTTCTGCCCTGGGTCAGGGGACTGCAAACAGCAGGGAACAGGCAACCTTTGTGGAGGAGTGAAGCACCAAGGATAGATGGTTCTGCCTCTGGCTGAAAAGCCCAAATGTGAATATTATAATGCATATTGGTCATCCAGACCAGATCCTGTGGGCGTTGATTTCCTCATCAAGGCTATGGAGGAGGGAAATGAAACACCGGACCCAATTCTGTCAGACAAGGAATAATAATCGGTAGTTGTACTCAATAATCTTGATATTAATCTCTTAATGTTACCCCACTATATTCATGCTCTGTCAAAGCTTACCCCTCATGATTTAACCATCTCTGTTACAGAAGTTCAAACAAAAAGCAATAAATATTCCCACCCCATGCCATGTTATCCTCTGCAAGGGAATGAATTGGCAGTTGTGATTTTTTAAGTAAACATTTTAATCTCAGGAAATCAGTGATGGTTAAACTTCAAAGAGTTGATCACAGAGCTCCTTTGGGCTATAGACACTGGCATCCTCCTCTTGCTCCGCAACTTCAGAAAGCACAGAGAGTTTCAGTGCCCATACAAGGTCTCTGAGAAATGCATGACCGTGCCCAGCAAGCAGTCCTGGCTGGATTGATCTCAGGTGGCCCCTCTGGTCTGGATGTCAAGGGATGCTGTAGTTTCCTGGGGTCTCAAAATTCTGACATTTAACTCTGTAGATTTAGTTAGAGTCCTGATTTGGTCATGTATCTCTGGAGGAATCGGGCACTGGGAAACCAATTTACACTATTCAAATACCTGGGAGGATGACTTATAAACCAAACAACCAATTTGTTAATTTACAATGGAAAATCTCTTTTCTGGGACTGTAATGGTATGTCTACTACTCAGAGCACCCACTTACTAATACCAAAAGTTCCCTGGAAATAAAATTAGGAATCAGATGAATATTTCTGAGTTTTGAATCAGAGCAAAGGGAATTTGATGGGGGTAAACTTAATTTAGGCTATTATAGGTCCTGATGAGCTATACCTGGTAAATTATACAGCACCTTCAACTAAGAGAACACTTGATGTTTCCCTTCAGATACAATATATATTTTTTTCTCTAGGCAGTAATTGGAATAAATTGACAAAGTTTATTCTTTAGTTATTTTCTTCCTGAGTCTATGTTGTGGGAGAAAGATATGGCAGTCTGCTTCCATAAAGATTTACAACCTTGGCAATCCTATGGTGCAGTACTACTTTGTACTACAGGGTCACTCTGAGTCAGAATGGGCTCAACAGCAGTGGGTTTGGTTTTGGATACTATGTCCCTTGTAGATTTCCTTTATCATTTCCAAATGGCTCTTAAAATGATTTTACAAATTTGATTGTTCATTCTGTAAAAGATTCTAAATTGATGTTGCTGCCCTATTTCAAAATCCACATGTAGTAGAGTTAAGTTCAAGTTCTAAAATCAATCTAGAGTTATATTTTTTTT